ACAACCCTCGAACTCACATTGGAACGGCTTCTCCCCTGTAGACGGCAAACACCAGCACTTGCTTTGGACACCCGGAGCCCCGAGAACCTCCTCCCTGACTTTGGAGGGGGCAAGGCTGCAGCCACGGAGAAGGGCGAGGGGGCTGGGTCCCTTAAACAGGGCAAATCCCCTTTGTGGCAGAACCTAGTTGAAATTAACAGCCTTCCCTCCCACCTGACAGTCCTGCTCATTCATTTCATATTTTACTTTCTTCCAGGCCGACGCCCATCTCCTCAAATTTCTAACGATTTTGGGGTAGCTCCTGGCCCTGCCTTCCTTTCTATAGGCCTTCTTGGATCCGCAGCTTCTAACAAGTTGGTCTCGCCATGGAGAAGCTGTTATTATGACAAAATATTTGGGGCATTATCAAAATCACACAGGCTGCTGGGCTGCTGTCGGTTTCTCTCCCCAGCCAGTAGGCAATTACATTTGGAGTTGCTGTGTGTTGTTTGGGGGCCGGGCTGTGGCTAGTGACTGAGCCAGTATTTTTCATCCAAAATTCTGCAAACTGAATTAACCACAGTCTCACCTCCAGTCTTTTACAAATAAGTGGAGAGGAAAATATAAATATTAGAGGTAAGGTAGCATGTAGTGATTGTGGAGGGGCACAAGCTGGGAGGTGAGGTGGGGGAGTCAGCAAAGCCTTTCAAAATCCCCCTATTTAATTTTCTGGCGGTCCCTGCATCCTGTTGCCAGAATTCCAAATGCTTGGAGTCATTTAGAGGTGTGAGAACTCAAACGTCTTTCCACTTGGAAAGGGGACCGTTTAACGTTAAATTCCATTAGCACCTAAATTGTTTCTTAAAGACATCCGCTCAGACACAGGACTCGAAAGCAAGCATTTCATGCAAATACATTTCTCAAATTTTAAACCTTGTTAAAAGCTTGTCTCGCACCTCGGCTCCCTCCCTTCCCGGAAGAGAACAATAGGCCGCTGGCGCATCCCCACTTCGGAGTAAATATTGACGGGGGAAGTTGCTAAAACATTTGGCTTTCTTTTAGGAAATCGTCTGGCACGATTTTGGCTGGGACCTGGTCATAGATGAATAATCTATGAGGCGGGAGGCGCGTTCTTTTGCGGCTCTCTCTTCTCACGCGATCCCCCCGCAGGGCCGCGCCGCCTGGGGCTCTAGCTGACCGGGTTGTGGGTCCAAGTTGGGAATCGCAAACCCTCTGGTGCCCATTAGAGAATTTCGCAAACTGCTGTGAAACCACCGTAAAAACCCCGCGACCCACCCCGAGACGGGCTTTAAAAACACTTTAAAAATGAGAAATGCTTTACAGCTTCGGCTCACACCAGACTCATTTAATGGGAAACAGTCCCGGGAAGGGCGTTTGGACTCCGAGTAAAAGAAGTGGGAAAACACACAAGCCACTCAAACACAGACCCCCGGAGCAGAAAAGCACATTCAGACAAGCTGGCAAAATCCTCTCTAGGCTTGATTCCCGGGCACCAAGTTAGAGAGCAGTTTTATTTTGTGCCTTCTATTTAGAACGGAAATTATTAACCGAGGCTGAGCAAACGAACCAATTGCATGACCCAACGCATACATTTGATGTTTCGCTGACCATTTAAAACTCAAATTTCCGCACATGGAAAAATCAAGCCCAATATTCTTTCATCCTCCAACAAAAACAAGCTGTTGGCTCTCTCGCACACACAAAAACATCTCCCATCCCAAGGCCTCGGCTGGCGATCTGTGCCCAGCATCAGCACCCCCAGCCCCTCACCCTACAAGTCTCTGCTCTCAGCGCCCAGTCCCTGTCCCGGCCCGCGGTTACCTGTGTGCGTCCTTTTGTGGATCTTGAGGTTCTCGGAGCGCGCGAAGACCTTGCCGCAGCCTGGGAAGGGGCAAGGGAAGGGTTTCTCGCCTGTGTGCACGCGGATGTGGTTGACCAGTTTGTATTTGGCCTTGAAGGGCTTGCCTTCGCGCGGACACTCCTCCCAGAAGCAGACGTGGTTGCTCTGCTCCGGGCCACCGACGTGCTCCACCGAGACGTGGGTCACCAGCTCGTGCATGGTGCTGAAAGTTTTGTTGCAGCTCTTCTTGGGGTTGCTCAGCTGCTCAGGGTCGATCCACTTGCAGATGAGCTCCTGCTTGATGCACTGCTGCCGCATGTAGCGGAAAAAGGCACCGGGGTGGTGGTGGTGGTGGTGATGGTGGGCCGCGGCCGCTGCCATGTTCATACCCATGTTCATATTCATGGGGCCGTACTGGTTGTGGAGTTGCGCCGCAGAGTAGGGGTCGGTCCGCGGGCTGGCCACCTGGCGGTATTGCTCCGAGCGCCCGAACACCTCGCCGGGCAGCCCGAGGCGCATCTGCCCATTGAGCACATTCTGCGAGCCGTGCGGCCCGTGCTGCTCCGGGAGGCCAGGGAAGAGAAGGTGGCCCTGCGCGTCCGAGTGCGCATGGTGCAGGCCGCCCGCGCCGGGCCCGAACAGCCCATGCTGCCCGCCGCCCGGTGCAGAGTCCCCGAAGCCGCGGCTGCGGAACAGGAAGTCCCGGGTGGAGTTGAAGGGTGGCCCAGAGTACGAACCAACGTGCGCGGCGTGGGGCCCGAGTGCGGCGGCGGCAGCCGCTGCCGCAGCTGAACCGGGATAGGCGCCGGGGCCCTGCGACGTGAACGCGGAGCTCTGGCCTGGAGACAGCTCGTGCGCACCCGGGTTCAGCTTGAAGGCTCCCATATGCGCCGCGGCTGAGTCTACGAAGCCATTCTGCGCCGCCGCCAGGCTCAGTTCACGGTCCTGCATCTCGGCGGCCGCTGCCGCCGCCGCCGCCGCCGAATGGTGATGGTGGCGCGCGAAGCTGCCCACCCCGATGGCCGGGAACTGCGGACCCGCGTCCAGGAGCATGGCCAGCGCGCCTGCCCGCCCCGCCGGCCCCGGCGAGCTCCAAGCCTCCGCGCCGCCTCGGCTCCCGCGCCGCGCGGTGCGTCTGGCGGCCACCGAGCTCCGGGTTCAGGCGGCGGTAGTAGCGGTGGCTTCAGCCCCGGGAGCCGCGCTCCTGCGCCCGCCGCCTCCGCCGCCGCCTGGATCTGCCTCGGGCGGCCGGGCGCTGAGCGAAGGCGCGGAGAGGAAGAGGAGGAGGCGGCAGCGGAGGAGGCGCGGGAGGAGGAGGAGGTGGAGGAGGAGAAGAGTCCAAAGCCAGGCGGAGAACCAAAGTGTATTAAAGGAGCTGCGGCGGGGGCGGGCAGGCAGGGCAGGGGAGGGCGGGCGGGAGGAGGGAGCGGGAGGGAGGTGTGGGGAGCGGAGCTGAGAAGGGGGGCCACCGGGGGGCTAGCGCAGCGCCGCGGCCCCCACCCCTGCGCGCACCCGCGCGCGCACGCACACACTCACTCGCTCGCACGCTCCGCGGACCCCGGGCCCGGCTGCGCAGCGCAGCGCCCGCTGAATGAAATCACAGCGGCGGCGGAGCCGCGGTGCCGGAGCGCGGTGGCCGTGCGCAGGCCAGGCAGGCGGGCGAAGAGAGGACGGAGGCGAGCTCCGCGCTCAGCTCCCGGGCCCAGCGCACCAGCGGCTCCACCTGACCGCGGCGGGGGCCGCGCGAAGGCGAAGGCCAGGCGCCCTCTCCTCGGCGCGCTCGGATGGCAGCTCCCTCCCCCGCGGTCCTACTCGCGCCGCCCCGCGCGGCGGGTATTGTTCGGCGCCGCGGCCGCGGTGTTTAGCCCTCCTCGTCCTCAGCGCTTGGCATTGGCTGCGCCTCGCGTAGTAAACTTGCTGCGGCCACGAATTCCCCCAGATGAAGGAAGCGGCCGTGCCGCTCCCCCTTTCTTTAAGTTGTGCAGGAGGAGGGGGGAGGAGGAGGGGGGCTGTGGGAGGAGAGAAGGCAGGAGGGCGGAGGGGAGAAGGGAGAGGCTGGGCTGAAAAACAATAACAACAATAAAAAAGTGATCTCTCGCTCGCCCCCTCCCTCACGCCAGTTGGGCCTGGGCGCTGGACCCGGAACGGGCAGCCGCACCGCGAGGACCGAGCGGAGTCCGCGGCCCGAGCAAGTGTGAGGAGGCCAGTGCGGACTCCCCCGTCCTGGCTGCGGTGGGCTGCGTTCGCCACCGCCTGCGTTTATTTCGGTGGGTGCTGCCGCTGCAGCAGCCTTTTATTTTTTATTTTTTGTCTGTTCCTTTTCCTCTCCCCTCCCCCCGCGTCCCCTCGCCGCCCACCGGGGCCTCCCTCCCCAGCTCCGGCTCCCGGCCGGCCTCTTGGTCAAACCGCCCCTTTAACAGCGGCTCCCGCCCCGCCCGCCCTGCCGGCGCCGCTATTGGCCGCCGCGGCCCCGTCAATCCGGCGCCCCCGCCCCGGGCCGGCCCGCCCCTCTTTCCCCGCGCCCCCGGAGCTCCTAGCTGCCCCGGCAGCAGCTGAACGTGCCCGCGGGCCGGGCCTGCAGCCCTGCAGCGCTTCGACCGCGCGCTCGGCGCTGCTGCTCTTAGTCCTGGCCGGCCACAGCGCTCCCGGGAACCGGGCAGCAGGCGTCGAGAGGGCTGGGACCCCCGGGTCAAGGAGCCTAGGGCCAAATCAGCAGCGGGACGGCCCCCTGAGTTCTGGTCTTTCTGCAGAGGCCACCGACTCCCCGGGGATCCGATTCGCTCCGGGCGGACACCGAAAACCCCGGGGACGCTGGGCCCAAGCACCCCTGACTGCTCGAGATGGCCAGCAGCCGGGTCGCCCTGCGGGAGGCTCTACGCGCGGGGAGGTTTCGGGCTCGGCCGGACCGGGAGCGCGCCGCGGGAAGCGGCAGGGGGTGGGCGGTCTCCTGCCGAGTTGGCACACTCCCTAGTCTCCCCGCACCTTTGTAAACTTGCTTGGTGGTATTGAAACCGCAGGTGCAGAACGGTGGGCATAGATAAAGCCAGGCGTGCCCTTTCCTCCCACTCTGGGGACGCCCACCCAGACAGTGCCCCCCCCCCCGTGGCCCCCATCCGCCCCGAGCGGTCTCAGCGCCCCCCCCTACCCGCCGCGGCTCTCGTACTGCTCCGATTACAGCAGTAAACACTGGGCAGCGGCCCCCGCGAGGGAGGGGTTGTTTGGAAGTCGTTTAAAGACAGTGTCACCCTCGGGATAAATGCCCAGAAGCCGGGGCCACTGCCACGATGGGCTGGGAAGTGTGGGGACACCCGCGGCCAAGCGAGGCTTTGGCCCGAGTTTGGCTGCAGGTCAGGCCCAGGGCTTCCAGAGAAGAAACTGCCAGACTGGCAGGGCTTAAACCTTCCAGAAGGTATATATCGGTCCTTCTTCAGGAGCGGGGATGCCCCTGGGGCCGGTGGCCTGGCGGCGAGGCTGCTCCTAGCGTCGCGCCTAGCCAGCCCGCTGCTCCGGCCGTGTCCCGGGCCCCAGGCTGGCCGCTGCGGACACTTCCTGTCCCGCCGCCCAAAGCTCGCGCTCTCGAGGTAACCGGAGTGGGAATGGCCGGCCCGGAGGTTGCGGAGGTGTGAAGGGACGGCCAGAGGCCAGCGCCTCAGGCGTCTTCTCCTGCCTGGCCTGCAGAAGTGCTTGTATTCACAAATCTCTGGGAGTTGAAACAAAATTCAAGTAAGAGAAAATTATCAGCATGATTTCAAAAAATTGTATGTTGACATGAAACCAACAAAAACGCGGGAAGAATTCCTCTAGCTCACTGTTGCTGGCAGAACCCGGGCTCTCTTGCGCGCGCTCAGGCTTAAGCTAGTGTCTGAAGGTTGGAGCTGGCCGCAGTCCCTTGCCTCAAGGGCCCTGTGCCCTCCCTCTGTCCTCTCCTTCCCGGCCATCTGGGGGGGAGCAAGAAGGAGAGAGGCTGTGGTAGCTTGTCTGAAAGCACCGGAGGGAGTTTGCCTGGAAGCTGGAGATTCTCGCCTTCGCTAAAAGGAGGAAATGGTCCTTTTCCACACCCCTCTCTCTGTATATAAAAGGGGGCGGAGGGCAGATGCCACACTGGCCCCCTAGATTGAAAGAGACCTGAGAGAGAGAGACGGAGAGAGGAAAGAAAATCTCTAGGCAGAAAGGCTGCTTTGCTACGCTGAATCCATTAAAAATTGCCCAATGTATAGTCTTTCACACTTGTTTACTTTATTCATCAATTTATATGGGGGAGCAAGACGAGAATATTTGGAAAGGCTTACTCCAAAAACATTTCCAGAAGAAAATATTTCCTTAGAGATTGGTTGTGAGAATAGCAGACCTGCACATCCAAAGACCTCACTTCCCTTCCTTCTTTCAAACCACCAGACTTGCAAGTCTTCCTCCTTTCCCACTTTCTCACCCCCTCGCCAGTCCTCCCTCCCTCTCCTCTCTGACCCATTCTCTCCTTTCGCTTTGATTACTCTTTTGCTGCGCCCGCGTTTGGGGCTGGCGCGGCTGGGCGCTCGCTTGCGCTGGATTCCGGGGGCCGCGCGCTGCCGGGCGGCGGGGCGGACGCCTTAATTCCCGCCGGAGACCCCGCGGGCTGGGCCCTCCTGGCTATTCTTTACCGGCTCCAGTTCTCCTCTCTCTGCAGGGCACAGAGAAGCTGAGCCAAGTTCAAAGTCACATCGCCGTCCACTCTCAGAAGTGCTTTATTTCTCTACAAACTGCAAAACCCCTTTCCTTCGTGACACCGTATTTTTTTTTTTAAGGAAGGAAAGGGAAGAGCGGGCGAGAGAGAGCAAGGGGGGGGGACCTGCAAAGGCTTTCAGAGTTATTGCCTCAAAAGTAGACTCGGGTTCCTTGGCTGGAGGGAAAAAAAAAAAAAAAAGGCGGCCAAGCTGCTTCTGCGTTCTGCACGGCGTGAGTGAATTCAGTTTTTCAACAGGTTTCTGGAAGGGCCTGTCTGCGGCGGTGTCAGGCCCGCAGGACCTGCAACTGTCTCCATCCTGCAAACGTGTTCCCTCTTTGTAAGTTTCCCAAAATTATTCTTTGGAAATCTTAGGGAGCCCGCATCGTGTTGGGCCAGAGCCTGGGACTGATGAGCATCCGGCCCCAGGGCGTGCATCCGGCGTACATTTCTCTCTAAGTGGAGGGAATGACAGCAAGATGGAGAATTCGGCTATCTTGAAAAAATGGACAATCCCCACAAACATCCAAGCACTCATCAACCAAGCACCTTGTTGCGGTTTGCAGGCCTATGTAAACGGTATTGACTAAGTTCTTTGTGTGGTGTGATGTGTATTTTGTGTACCTATACATAAAAACAGCTTATATACACATAGCATACTCTCACACACATAGGTATATGTTGCTAGACAAGAGAAGCCAAAAACAACAACAAGCAAACAAAACCTACTTTTAATTGGGAAGCAGAAGAAATTGGTGGCCATACCATTCAAACTTTGCATTTTCCTCTCATAGAAGGAGGTGGAAATGATGGTGGGGGGAGTTGAGAGATGGATTGGGGCAAACAAGTGTGGAATAAGCTGTCTATATAACCTGGACCAAAAAAAAAAAAAAAAAAAGGATTTCACAGGATTCCAGCACCATTTTCTATATCACAGACTCATAAATTCAACAAGATCATCAACAGGATATTAAGTTGCAGGTCACCTTTGATTCAGTCTTCTCCGCCACCCCTGGTCTGGCTGACCCCTGACCCATGAAGGACCACATGTGTGGTGGGGAAGCCCCCTCTGTAAAAACCCACCTAGAACAAAAGTTCTTTGTCAGGGCTTTAGAGAAGTGTAATGTAAAAGAAGGGGAAATTGTGAAAATCTCAGCCAATGTTGTAACTTTTAAATACCATTTTTAAGAAGGGGTGGTGGGGGGAGGTTGAGCAGAGTTGTCATAGGATAAGGCCTTCTCTAGTCTGCTAAAAGAACGTCTTTCTTCCTATAGTTAAAATTTACTGTTCTGTAACTGGGTTTATAAAAAGTCTCTATATAATATATATGTTCACCAGCAGTTTAGTAATAGGGATGTAAATATTTGTGTGTTTGTCAAAAGGGACTTAGAAAAAAAAGAAGCCATCAGCCACCACTGCCTTTGCCCTTGCATTGGTGACAGTGCTTGTGTCGAAAAAGGAAGGGAACTAATTTTCCTAATTTTGTCTCTTCTTTCCTGATGGGAGTGGAGTGTTTCTGTTGCTTCAAAATAAAACACAAACAAACAACAACAAAAATTAGGAGGCATTAGCTTATAAGAATGTGTTTAATTATTCTGAAGACCTATCTTTTGAGCTTCCAGGTGAACTATATCCAGGGAGGTTGAATACTGGTGACAGGCAACCAGCTTTCCAATAAACTGCAGTATTATTGCAATAGACGTTGTAATACAATTTATGCTGTCATTCATAAATAACAATGCCATATGTCAACCATATTGCTTACACAAGTAAATCCATCAACGTGTCACTATTTGATTTATCTCAACAGCTTCTTCAAATATTGAAGTATAGATATTGGAAGGAATGTGGAGTGGGAGGAACGTCCCAAAAAACTTGAGATATTATTTTTATTGTACAACCTCTACTCTTTATGTTCCATCCAAAACATCCTAAAGGCTAATAGATGAAAAGGAGGAGAAGCACATCTTGGGGCCAATGTAAATAAATATTGGGTGGTTATGTGAACCATGGACATGTAGGGGAGTTTTGTGGTTCTTGTTTTGACCTTCTGAGCATAAATAGAACAATGATGTGTTTCCCAAGAAATTACCAACTCTAATGGTTAAATGTGGGTCAAAGGCCTTTTGCCAACAACCTCCATCTCTGAGGGTAAAAAATGATTGATAACCAAATGGGAGTAGTTGATGAGAAAGAAATCTTACTCAACTTATTCTTTCCTAGAAGGGAAGTAGAGAGACTCATACTTTTTCAGTGGCTTTTAACCCCAAAGGCAAGGTGGACGTGGGATGGGTTCAATTCTTGGCTATCTAAAAAATAACACAAAACCCTCCACCGAATTCAACATCGCAGTCACGGCCACACAGTCCCAATCTTCTGCCTTTTTATCCTTATTAAATCCATGTATGAGTGGTAGTGGTATTAGCAAGAAGCCTTTTTTGGTTACTCAGCCCCACACATATCCATGGAGCCTGAGGATTCAGTGTGAGCTCAGAATGGTGACAACCCTCAGAGAGGCGCTCCCAGGGCCGTGAATTGCGGGGCGATTGGAAACACCCAAGGCACCTGGGCGGGTCGCAGCCCTCACGCAAATCGGGTCGCGCGTGACGAAGGCTGGAGGGGGGTGGCATCCGGTCTCTGCCCAGTGCAGACGGGGCGGGCGGCCAGGAGAGGCGGCCCAGGACCTTGCCGCCTGGACGCCTGGCGAGCCTGATTTGGGAAAAGCCCTTGAACCCAAAGTCCTCATCACTTCCGGCGGTGACAAAGCTCTACTAAAACGCAGCTTTGCCAGCTCGTTTGCCCACCTCGCCCCACCTTTCAGAGAGGTCTGAGCAGACCATCACCCTCCTCCGAGTGTCTTAGAGCAACATTTCTCTCCTGCTCTCGTTAAGCACCCATTGGCGCCCCTGGGCTTGGCTTAGAAGGTCCTTCGATTCCTCCAGTAATTCTGGAGGCCCCTTTCGCCCTTGAACCCGCCTCGGGCGCGGCACTAGACGCTGCAAACCCACCGGCACCTGGCCCTTCTGCAAGGAGGCCGCTCTCGCAGAAACCACGCGGGACCAGAGAGTCGTATAGCAATTGCAGGTGCAATAAAAGGCGGCTTGGTGGGTCCCCCAGCCCCTTTCTTGTCCACCCCACTGTCCCGGAGTTCCCCCCTCCCTCCGCCTGTAGAAACAATCAAACAAAGGCTCAAAAGCCAGGAAATGTCCAATTCACTTCCCTTAGAGTTTATTAATTGCCCACACCCATCGCAGGAAACTTGGCTGTGTTTGGTAAAGAACGGAGGGCTCAGGGGAGCAGTGGAGCTGCGTCCCCCCTCCGCGCAGCGGGGAGCCCCGAGCGCCAGCCAGAGCGTCCCCAGAGATTGGGTCCTGCAGCCACCAGGCAGCTGAGCGCGGCGTGGTCGCCGGCTTCCGGCCAGCTGGGATCCTCTGTGCCTCTCACCTCCCCAGCCTCCTCGCGCCTTTGTTTGGGGCTTGGAGGAGGCTGAGGTTCGGGGTGCAACCAAGAAGTCTGGAACCCGATGCCCCCAAGAGCCCCTGCTAACTCCAGAAGGGGCATCTCCATGGCTTGCCAAGTTGTCGCCTCCACACAAGCACCTCCGCTGCAGAACCCAGACAGGGGCGTAAGTTTGGAGGATCGGCCCCAACGACGAGAGCCGCCGTCGAAATACGGGGCTAAATCCACAGCAAGAGCATTGACATAACGCCTTCTATAGCCGCTTGCTTTTAAAACTAGTATTATTATTTTCTCCAACTTTCTGGAATTTGTTGGTGTTTACTTAGGAAGTGTGACACAGTTATTGGGTCCTTAGAAACTCGGGATGTTAAGGGGGTTTGATTTGGCTCCCAAATAGCTTGAAAGAAAAACAGCGCACCTGGGGTCAGGCGGGTCATCACAATAACAAAAAGCGCTTCTACAAAATAAAAAGCTCCTTTATAAAGAAAGGCAATCCCGGAAATCCACTGCGAGCCTTCCTGAGGACCATCTAGCTAGGCCTATTCTCAGGTTTAATTGGCAGGCAGTTTATTGGCGCCTTATTGGTGTTGATTGAAATTTTGCTCCCAGTCCTTTCTTTTAAGAATTAGCATCTCAAGTCGATTTACCTGACTCAATTATCTTTTTAGGGTCTAGGTTTGGTCATAAATTTGCAAATATTCATTAAACCCACTTTGTAAATATCCCTCTTTCCGATCGCTACCCAAATCTCTATTATGTCCGAAGAAAGTCTTCTTTTTTTAAGGCTTCCATAAAAAGAAATTGATCAGGGAGCTATATTTGAATTAAGACATATTAAATCGATGACAGATACATATCACGCTGTGTTTAACAAGAGTTGTACAAGGAGGCGGGTTCCAGATTCCGCACGGCTCTGCTTCACCATTATTCACATTTTTACAGCCTTTCCTTCATGCCTTCACCCATTAAACCATTAAATTTCAGCAATTCAATAAAACAAAGCAGTTATAATTTTGACGAAAAGCTATTTTGAAGGGGGTGGAGGTACCCATTTTATTGCACAATAAAAATGCTCAACAGTCCATATTAAAGGCTACGTTGTGTTTATTTCCTTCTTTCTTAATTCATCTTTTTTTTGGCTTTACTTATAACCTGCAAGATTGAACTCAAAGCTGCCATTACTGTAAGCATTGATGTTTACTGGCAAGGAATTCAAATAAAGGAAACTCATTTGAAATGTTCTGAGAGGAGACAGTGGTGATAATTCCAAATATGATGCTTCCTTCATAAACCATCCACAGAGATGGCACAGTGCTCGATCACCCTTTGCCTGGTTGGCTTGAGATGTTTTAAGTCTTTGAAATGAAATTGTGAAAGGATTCCTCCTTTCCAAATAGATATGTGGATTTTGTCACTGCTGTTTATTACTTTTTTTTCATTGTTTCCACACCTATCTTTATTTCCCCATATTTGAACTTTATTGAAGCTTGAAGAAAAAGCCCATTTGAAATTTGATGGTAGTATTGTCTTTGTTTGCTTGTCAGTTTTATAAGAGAAATGACATTCCCAAGTCTCATACCGAAGCCCCCTGTTAAACATTGTTCATACCAATGTAAATGGCACTATCCAAACAACTCGTTTGGAGATATTTCTTATTACTTCCCAGGGCCATCTCCCAGATAATGGTTTTGCGTGGTCTATTTTTACTTGGACTGCCAACACATTAAGCTGGAAACATGTTTTATTGTGTCCTCAAAGAAAAAAAAATCACATTCTAATCATTATCACTTTTTTACAAGTAATTTTATGGAGGGCAGCAAAATAAAATTTTAAAAACCCTGACTTTAATTTTTGAGCATTTGGAGCGTCACAAATTTCAAAGGCGCTTTCTTTTAAAATCTGAAATTACATTTTGGGGCAGTAAAACGTCTAATTTTAGGGGTGGGGGCGCATTTATCCGCTCACCAAAAAGTGATGCAGGGACCGATTCCTATTTTGAAAAAATTGATTTGATACCAAACCGATGGAAAGGCATGGGGTTCGCTAAAAATAATTTTTAAAAGCCCGTTTTCATGGATTTCAAATAAGACATCTATCTCTCACAGGGAGACCAATTTATTAGAAAACGATAAGAA